ACACACACATATATAAATATTTATAAAGTGTGTTAGATTGATTATTTTATTTGTTCCTGAAAGCCTGGAATAAAACATAATTATTACATAATAAAAGCATAAAACATTGCAGTTGTTTTGTTTGTAAAGTCAACAGCAGTCACCAAGTACTCTAAAAGTGCAAACTGGAACACTGAAACATGTTGGCTGCAGCTGCACGGCACAACTTTTGCTTTAAAAGTGAATGTTTTCCATTTCTGGTTTGGTCCTCTAGCGACCAAAGTAACTAAGTTATTTTTAGTGCAGCACCATGCATCTCTTTGCCGCCAATTTTATTTGGCAACAGCCAGCAACCACTTGCAAACCTTTCAGGGATATGCATTTTCGCTTACTGACCAGCGGTGGTTGGTAGAGGTCACTGCCGGTCTTTGGACTCGTGCAACTGAAGCATTACCAAATCACCTACAGTATTACAACTTTCTTCATGTCTTCTTCCACAATAGCACAAAGAAACTTTTCAGTATGACATTTGTGTTTCATCTTTTTCATTTAAGAAAAATATAAAAGAGCAAGTAATTTCTGAAGTCTAGATATTCTTTCCTGTGTGAGTGTTCGTATGAATAATTAGATGGGAGCGTCGGATGAATCTTTTCCCACAATCCGTGCAACTGTACGGCCTCTCGCCTGAGTGAGTCTTCATGTGGCGAGTCAGATTCGAGTGGGCACTGAATTTAATATGGCACAGGGTGCAACCGTAGGGTTTCTCACCTGTGTGAATTACCATGTGCTTGATAAGGTCGGCTTTCTCTCTAAATTTTTTACCACAGTCGTTACAGCTGTGAGGCTTCTCTCCTGTGTGGATACGCATGTGGGCGTTCATGTTTCCCACCTGAGTGAATCCCTTGCCGCAGACGCTACACGTGTGCGGCTTCTGTCCAGAGTGTGAGTTCATGTGAGTCTGTAAATATGAGCGCTGGATGAAGCGTTTGCCACACACGCTGCAACTGTGGGGTTTCTCTCCCCTGTGCGTTTTCATGTGACGAGTCAGAATGGATTTATTCCTGAAATTCTTGCTGCAAACGCTGCAGGTGTAAGGTTTTTCTACTGTTTCGCCAGATTTCTCTACTCTCCTACTGTTTACACCCGAGTGACGTTTTACACTGTCTTGCTGTTCATTATCACTTATTTCACTCGATGGACACTCGCTGGTCGGCTCTGATGCGCCACAGCTTTGTTTAACAGTTCGAGCCGAGCAGCTGGGCGAGTGATCTTCCTCACCATCCTCACCTTTCTCCACATAAATTATATTAAACATGGCGTCTTTGGTGTCAGCCTCCTCCTGCTTTTCACACACTGGAGCCGACCACAGTTCTACCTCCTGTTCTTCTTTAATCCGGGGCTCTCGGTCATCCTCACACAGGTCTGTCTTCTTCTCAGGGTGATCCTGCTCAGAGCAAGCACCATCTTCCTGGACGGAGAACTGCAGAGGGACTAGACAACATCATATATTAGAAAATGGATTTAGGTTTTCACCTTATCAAGCAGAAAGCTATACAATACAAATCTCAGATTAATTTAATTTTTAAATTATGACGTGTAGTCTGCTGTTGAAAAAGACAGCTTACTACTTCTTTTGCATAAAACAATAACAGATGCACTGGAACTTATTCTCTTGATGATTTCTTGTTTTTGATACGAAAGCAAAGACTCTGCTTAATTACGAAGCTCAGATAAAACAAAAATACAGTAAATAAACTTTAAAATGCAGTGATATCAAAACTGCAATTAGGTTTTTCTTTTACAGTGTTAGAACTACAGGTTTCTGGGTCACGTTTCATTGTTTTGGATGCAGTAGCGAAGATGAAAGGTGGAAACAGGTCCTTGTGTTTCACTGGAAGTTTTCTCTATCTGAGGCTTCCTGAACCAAACAGATTACATTGTTCTTTGCAAAATGTTTATTGGGAAATCTTTTCAATTTTGGCATATTTCACTATTTATTTATTGTCAACATAAGTATGCAACATACATACCAGCTAAGCAGCTTAAGTAAAAGAGCACAAAAATATGTTAAATGTGAATGAAAAAGCTTTGAACCACCAGGACTCAGAGTCTGGCTGAGTAGCAAAGCTGAGAAACTGAGAATGTGGTGCTTGATCAGCAGAGAGATGAAAAACTGAACAATCACTTCAGAGAGCACCCAAAGCTGTGGTTTAGATTTGAGACTGTGGCACCTGACCTAAGAGTCAACTACTTCCAAAAAGTTCTGCGTTTTTATTATAATACACGTCCTGATTTTCCTAAATCCTGCCTGTGACATATGCCCTCCATACAATAATAATAAAAAAGAACAAAACTAACACTGAAACTAAAAAACCTAAACTAAAACTGAACATTTTTAAACTATTAAAAACAAAACTTCTGGAAACTGACTTAAAACCCCCCCCCTCAAAATTAGAATAAGAATTACAACTAATTAGAAAATACAGGACTGTAATAACTCTGGTGGTTGGAACGGTTTCTGCACTGATGATGATGATGAATGTGATGATGTATCTGGCTGTTGTGGTGTAGAGTGAGATAAGTCACTGGTTGGTTCCTTGGACTCTGGGGCTAACAACTTGATGACAAAGCTTACGTCAGCAGGGCTGGAGTTTACTTGCAGGGGTGGAAAGTATAATCCCTGTGAGAAACTGCTCCTCTGCACCAAAGGGGTGGACCCACAACACACTGGAAAGATGAGGTTTTTTGGCTTTCATGGGGATGCCTCTGTATCCCTACATAACAGTCAGAGGCTGTGGCTGGAGAGATTAAGGTTTGGGCGCCTGGGCTTAGACTGCTAGCACTGCTGGCCCTCTACAGTCTGAAAAACTCATGACCTGAACCATCAGCAGCAACTGTCTCTTCAACAGATCCTCAGAATAATACACCACACCACACCGAGAAGCAGTTTAAAAAGCTTCACCGGTTCCAAACAGAGGAAGATGAGGCCAAGCTGGCTGCACTCAGGGAAGCAGTGGGGCATAAGACAAGAAAGATGAAAAAGAAGCTGGAGGCTCTGAGCAGGGAGACGCAGGTCTCTCACACAGTCAGAGCCACAGAGAAGGAGCTGAGACTTGAAGATGACTCTTTCCTAAACAGCTATGGGGCTCTGTCCCAATTTCAGAAACTGTCTCCAACCTCAGCTGACTTCTTAAGTTGGAGACAATTGAAGCTGGGAACTTTTGTGTCCCCACCATGTTGATTTATTTAGAGCCAGGCATGAAACTATTTAGAGTAGAGGGCAGAGTACTAAGTTAACAACTAACGCAAAGCAAGGTTGGTTAGCAAGCTGAATCCATAAAATGTATGGATGCAATACAAAGACACTAAAGTCTTCTTTTCAGCACTAAATTAAAGACCATTAAACATTGTTGACAGCCTTTACCTCACAGCAGGATATATGTAATTCCAAAAAATGCTGCAAAAGGCACGATCAGCATAAACACAATCACAGGTTTGGTTAAGGTCTGTTTGCACACCGGTCAGTCCTCCATTTTAGCCTCCATAATATCTAAATAGATGAGTTATCAAAAATCCATGACAGTAGTGAATGTTCTGAAGAGGTAAATTGGCTATAGAGACCAAATCCTTTACCTGTGCTAGGATGTAAAGATGCTATAAATAGCCTACTGTTGGTAGATGGATTTTGTCTTTAGATTACTAAAATACTCTGTTGTTGATGTGGCACTTTAATTGACAGGTGAGCCCAGCTGTAAAGATGAAGATACATAAACCAGGCTTAAAACAGTCAAATTCCTTTTTGATACTGAGGTTTGAAACTATAATATGATCAGATATTACTATGTATAGTCACTATTTGTTTAATTAATGAACCAAGGAGCACTATGGGAAAACGAGTGGCTACTAATCAGCTGTCTCCAAGCACCGAACACTATCGTGAAACATATTCTGGACTTGGAACAGGTTCATTTCATAATAATATCTTTAAAAATGAAAAAAAAAATCAAAAGCTTATTTTTTCATTTTTCCCTTCTTTAAGCTAGCTACCACACAAATTATTTTAAACAAGGAAGCCGAGAGATGAAAAGCGCTGAAATTGAAACCTAAATCTTGGTTAAGATATGCAGGAAATCCTCTTGTGGTTCATTCTTATTCATTTGACAGCCATTTTGCATCCCCCTCCCTCTTTCAGGGATGCAAAATGGCGCTATTTGCCGGCTTCTGTAAACTGTTTACTAGATGTTTCCTAAGACTGAACACTAGCTGAGCTTAACAGATGCTACAAAGTGTCCATGCAGCTTCAGGGTTGTCCTGCCATTACCTTTCCACCCGGCCAGGCTTCGCCGTTGTTGCTCGACCTCCTGCTTTGAACAGAACACTTCCTTCTCATAGTCTCTTACAGCTTCTTCAAAGAGGTTGAATATTTCCTCGGCAGCCGCCTGCAGTCGTTCATTGACCACAGCTCTTAGTTTCTCTGTTTTGAACATTTCCGCGGGGGATAAGAGTCCTCTAGTCTGTTTTTGGACGAGCTCAGGGGTGAAAGGCTGCTTTTGGGTTGCCAGATATCGCGAGAAAACCAAGAACTGTCAACATTAAAATGACCTTCTGAACATAAGTGTAACCACATCCACGTGATCACTCACAATCATCGTATCTTTTCGTAATTTGCAAATCACAAATATACCATAAAATTAACTGTGTGTTTTATTGTATAGGACTGTATTATACTATAAAACAATGTTCATGAAACGGACAAACAAAAGTTTAAATCATGCAATACGAACTTTCAAGGACATAAATATGCTGAAGTTGCCCAGTGAAGCTGTCTGCAGCAAATACAAATGGCACGCTGTAAAAGCGAATTCACGTTTATAGAAGGACATGGCAACAAAGGATTGCCGAGGCACACTGTAATACGATCTTATTTCCATGATAGAGCTTTAGTGCCACCTACTGGTCAACAACGAAAAAATGACGTACATGTTTGTATTGATCACCTATTTCAGTGCTGTTTGATTTCAGGCTGCCTACATATCAGAAGTCTCTAATTCTCCCCCTGCCCATCAAGAGGAAAGTTAAAAAGAAAGAGAGAAAGTTCTTCTTTTTGCTGTTCCTTTAGGGGTTGCAAGGTCAGATCACCTTCCTTAATCTCACCTGTCGTCTCAACCCTCTGCGTGTTCTCCTTCCCTTACATCCATAAATCTTCTCTGCGATCATCCTATTTTCCTCCAGGCTGGCAGCTCCATGCTCAGCCAGGATATATCCAATATATCCATTATCCCTTCTCTGCACTTCCTCAAACCATCTCAGCTAAAGTTTCCCTCTGATTTACTCTTTTCCATCCTGGTCAGTCCCAGTGAAAAGCACTTCTTAACATCTCAGCACAGCCTCCTGTCTCTTCGTCAATGCCACAGTCTCTAGACCACACAGCTCTCACTCCCATCTTCTAAAACTTCACTTTCACTCTTGCTGTTGTCATGTCCAGTCCTCTATTTTGGCATCTTTAAAATGCTTCACCGAAGGCCTTTGAATGCTGTCATGATCAAGCCAACAAAACTGGGGCAGCTGCGGCTCAGGTGGTACAGTGGGCTGCCTACTGATTGGATGATTTGTGGATCAACTGACTCCTCCGGTCGGCACGCTGAATATCTTTCAGCAAGATACTGAATCCCAGGTTGCTCCCAAAGCATCCATGTAAGTGCGGGTGCAAATGTTGGAAAGCACTTAGGTATAGATAAAAGTGCTGAATGAATATGTAAGATTACATGAATGAGATCTGCAGTTGCAACTGAGTAGAAAGGTGCTACATAAGCACCAGTCTTGCTCAATCCAATGTTTGTATGCTTTTCTCTATAGGTACATCTCTACACCCTGCATACCCAGGATTATCTCCTGAATTAAAACTCGTAAATATCCTGTTTTAGAGTGATTACATATTCGAAAAAGACATGAAAAGTTTAATTTTTCCCCTTATTACTTCAATTAGGTTTAATTTGTTTTTCAAATCAAA